AATAGATAAATGTCATAAAGATCGGGATAGAGTCCCGCCATACCAAAAAAAATACACGTCTAAATCATACTAACCAAACAAGCAACTCTGAAGCAAATGGAGCGCACCAACACCTCTGAGCTGATAGCCTAATAGGAGGACTGTCAACCTATCAATCGGGACCTGCGGGGATGAAACGCAGCGTCCCCAGGCAAAAGGGACGTCAGTACGAATAAAGTACTGCGTATGTAAGGCAGGAAAGCATAAATAAGAACAGCAATGTAAAGAGAGATAGAGAAGCTACAACCTGTAACATCTGAGTGCCACTGGGGATTACTGACATGAAATGCATAATACATATATATACATAAACTTTTAAAAACATTCGCCTCTGTGGGCATCATCATCATCATATCGTACCCGGCCTCAAAGAGGACTCGGTAAAATCTCCATTAAATGACTTCAAATTTTATATACAACCTCCTTATACTATTTCTAACAAGTTTAATTAAAAATTTGGAATTTAACCTACATATTTAAGCTTGTTAAAAATCTAATTTTCACTAACCAAGTGAATTTGGTTTATTGAACTAATATTTGAGTCACGGCTACTGATTCGAAAGTTAACTTAAAAGCTTGAGCAATCCTTTTTAATAATTAAATAGTAATTTCGAGAACCCATTAGAGTTGAATGTTGAGTATTAGCCTATTCTTTTTGGGCTAGTTGGTTGTAAATTGAAATATGAGCTATAAAATTGAAAAGTAGAGCCCAGTTATTCTTATGTGAAATTTTCCCAATATTAAACACGCAATAAAATATTATTATTAAGTGACTGTCATTTTTACATTCTCTTGATAGTATTTGATTTAATTAATTGAAAATTCTATTGGTGTGATTTCTTTTCAAAAGTTTAAATTAGATTTTTTGGTAAGAAAATTATTTTTTCATTATCACATACACCGGCGTATCCAATGTTGAGGCTCTCAAACCCTGTATTTTTGCCTAAAATTATTAAATATATACAAATAATAAATTTTGAATCCATTAAATTAGATGGGGTGATAGAATTACGAATCTGAATCCATAAAGTTCAAATCTTAGATCCACCTCACATAGTTAAAAAATTTGTTTGTACTACAGAAAAAGCAACAATACTATAGCTGTTGTTTTCTCTTATATTTTCTGGATATAATTTATTTATTTTTTAAAAATACAAAACAATTATATTTTAAACATTATATCACCAATCTCTAGCTGCATATCCTAACAAAGACAAAACCTAAAATTTCTAACTCTGCAAAAAAAAAAAAAAAAAAAAAAAAAAAGTCAAACTCTGATTGGCCCATTTTTGTGTTGCTGTGGTATGCTTCATCATCCATTTCACATTCTATGTAGATAAGCTTTATTGTCCTAATAAACAGATTGCCAAAAACATTACACATTTCTCCTTTCAAATTACATAGTGCCTTTGTTTAGTCCATCTTTTTTCATGGCTCTAGCCATTCATTCCACTGCATTTTCTAGCATCCCAATCAGGTCAGTAACACTGAATTACAAATTTAGTTCTTGACTATATGGTATTCTGTAATTCTATTACTCAGTAATTTGAAGATTCTTTTAAATTGTGTGATCATCGTGTCTACAAGCATGAACTATTACATAGAACACAATTTTTATTACGTAATTATATTATGTCGTCTCAACCAGAGGCGCATCCAGGATTTAATGCTTATGGGTTCCTGTAACGACCTCGAGTAAATTTCAATAGTAACTGGGTTCACATTCAGACATTTATAGATATTTAGTAAATTTTTCGAACACATTTACACTATTTGTACAAAATCTACTGGGTTCACGTGAACCCGTAGGTCGGGAGGTGGATCCGTCCCTGGTCTTAATGAGTCGCCTCACCTGTGGGCAGAGTCAGGATTTGAAACTTATGGGTTCAGGATTCTAGTTATTTTTAAGTTACTAGGTTCTAAATTAATAATTTATACATATTTAATGAATTTTTTTAGACAAATACAAAGTTTGGACCAAAGTTGTTGGGTTCGCCGAACCCGTAGGGCTGGCTCCGCCCCTGCCTGTAGGTTTGATTCTTTTTCATGGATCAATCACGTGGGAATGCTTTTTGCCTTTTGGGTGGTGATTATACCATGTTGAATTGTGTGACTGTCTCATCTGAATTCTCGTTTTATCTTTGATTCAGGGAGCTACCCACAAGGACTTTTACAGGGAAATTCACAACTTGTTTATTACCTAGAAAAAGTAGATTGAATGCTGGAAAAGAGGTTTCAAGTGTCTGTGAACCACTCCCTCCAGATAGACCATTATGGTTTCCTGGAAGTTCACCTCCAGAATGGCTTGATGGCAGGTTACATTAAGTTTGTCCTTTTGTTATTGTTGTTGTTGTTTTTTTTTTTTTTTCGCATTTTCCTTTTTCTAATTGGTTGATTTTAAAGATTTATGATTTGTTTTCTTGTTCTTAAATTGCAGTCTTCCTGGAGATTTTGGCTTTGACCCACTCGGATTAGGTACATAACATAAATGTCACTATTTTTTTATTAACACTACGCGCACATTATGAGAAAATTTAATCTAATTCTTAGAGAAAATGAGGAAGATCTTAGTTTAGATTCAAGTTTAGTCTGGTAGGAACTTATCTGACAAGGAATTTCACTACTTTAGGACTATTATAGTGACAATTACCGTTCATCGGGGCCTTGGTCACCGGCTCCCTTATCATCAGGCAATGCTGCATGGACTCTCCAAAAATGCCGTTGTACTCATGTTGGATTTTCTAAAAGTGCACTACTTTTGGAAGATGTGACATGCACCCGACGATATTTTTCGAAAGTCCGAGCAACATAGTCATCAGGTCACTCAACTTTCTTGACCTTTTGGTACATTGTCTTAGGACTTTGTGCAAAGACCTGTGTTTTTGGTAAACAACCACCTCGGGTGGTCATTGCTACCCTCTTTGTGAGGAGGCACTCGTTCTCTCAAAGTTAAGGGGCTATTTTGCCCAGTTTGGAATTGACAATTTTGATCCAGATAGACTGTATCTTGTAAATTAGAAAATCTTTCTTCTTTAATGATCAACAGTTGGATTGTTTAATTAAACAATGTTTTATTTTGCAGGGTCAGATCCAGAAACATTAAAATGGTTTGCTCAAGCTGAGCTAATGCACAGCAGATGGGCAATGTTGGCAGTAGCTGGAATTCTAATTCCAGAATGGCTAGAAAGTCTTGGATTCATTGACAACTTTTCATGGTATGATGCTGGTGAAAGAGAGTACTTTGCAGATTCCACAACTTTATTTGTGGTGCAACTAGTCTTAATGGGCTGGGCCGAGGGTCGAAGATGGGCCGATATAATCAATCCAGGTTGTGTTGATATTGAACTAAAAGTACCTCACAAGAAGAAACCAAAACCAGATGTTGGATATCCTGGTGGATTATGGTTTGATCCTTTTATGTGGGGAAGAGGATCTCCTGAACCTGTTATGGTTTTGAGAACTAAGGAGATCAAGAATGGTCGACTCGCTATGTTAGCTTTTGTTGGATTTTGTTTTCAAGCTGTGTACACTGGACAAGGACCTATTGAGAATTTAATGTCACATCTTGCTGATCCTGGACATAACAACATATTCGCGGTACATAAATTATCATCATCTTGACAAAGGGCAGCCCGATGCACGAGGCATCCTGTCAGGGTCCGGGGAAAGGCGGCACCTCAAGGGTGTGATGCAGACAGCCTACCCTAATGCAAGCATTAGTGGCTACTTCCACGGCTCGAACCCGTGAACTATAGGTCACACGGAGACAACTTTACCGTTGCTCCGAGGCTTCCCTTTAACCATAATCTTGACAATTTTCAAGATGTTATAGAAAATTTATGTGATTTTTTCATCTTTTTAACATTCATCTTGTTCATCTTTGTAGGCTTTTGGATCCCAATGATGGTATTATATTCAAGATAGAAGAGATTCAGAGATGATGACACTTACACCAACATTGTTAAAATGACTCCATTGTACCAAGAATTTCTCCTATATGTTAATGCATTCATGTAAATGAAATATCAATCTTGACAATATTGCAGTTCTGTAGATTTTCTGGCCTTATACTGATTTTTGTTCTGGTCCAGAACACACAACTCTATGAATGGTTATCCAAGAATCAAGGAAATGCAATCACAGATTCTTGAATCAAAATCTGAAACTAACATTATATTTCAAACTAATGGGAGGAAGAACAAAGATTCCAATGTAGCAATGCCTAACAAAGAAGTTAATATAATGCATGAGTTACTATATACATAATGATAATTATGGAGAATTATTTGAATCTTTGAAGTTCAATAGTCAATACCGAAGTTTTGAAACATATGGTAGAAGTTATTCCAAGATATTTGGCACTCAAGAATGCAGCTTAATGGTCAATGAAGTGGGTGAATAGCATCGGAGACCAGCATTCAAATCCTAGAAAGGCAAAAAATGCTATATAATCTCGTTCGATTTGCTAACGCATCGCTAGGCTAAGTTACTAGATACATGTGCTAGTGAGAGGTAATAGTTACCCGATAGATAGTCAAGTGCGCACAAGCCGCTACTAATATACTCTATATAATAGTTAAGGTGCGCACAAGCTTGATAAAATAGTCAAGATGCGCGCAAGCGGAGACATAAGTGTTATTAAAAGGAAAGATCATTTCAAGACATATGGGGGTATGTAGTGAAATCTGCCTAATTAATTAGTTCAGCGGAAAAGGCTCTATTACCATAGACAAGGTCAATTCAAGATTCACCTTTCTTTCCACCCAAAATTCTGAATCTGTTCTCTCAAACAACATTGTGTGTCATCTTGGACTCACCCCCACCCCACCCCACCCCACCCCTAAGACTAATATTTTTCAAAAATACAACATACACGTCAACCACCCCCCACCGCCCCAAATCACACACCATGACACATCATCATTCCATTGTCCAAAAACAAACAAACCAATCAAGAAAATCAGCATACACCTTCCAAGAAAAGAAACAAAGAAATCCAAACTCTCTGGACAGCGGCTGATTGTTTCTTTAGGGGAAGGTGTCATGTCTAGTAACAAACATGGCCGCTGTTCCCCTCTTCCTTCCTCCTCTAGCAACCTCTCCCAAAAACTCCTTTTTTTTTACATCTCCATTTTCTTCCTCATTTTTCTATCTAATACACCATTTTCTTTCTCCATTTCAGAGGATGAGGCATTGATCAAGTTCAAAGAATCTTTAAAAAATACAACAGCTTTAGATTCAACTTGGCATAAGGGATCAAATCCTTGTGACAAGAACAAGAAATGGACTCGTGTTCAATGCGAAGGGAACGCGGTCGAAGGCCTTCTTTTAGGTGAAGCTGGCCTTTCAGGGGAAATTGATGTTGATCCATTGATTGCACTTCCAGGCCTGAGAGTTCTTGAACTTGCAAATAATTCATTTTCCGGAACAATTCCTGAATTTTTCTTGCTTGGTGCTCTTAAATCTATTTATATAGATGGAAACCAGTTTTCAGGAGAAATTCCTAAAGATTTCTTCTCTAAAATGGGATCTCTTAAAAAAGTTTGGTTTTCAAGAAACAAATTTTCAGGGCCAATTCCTGAATCTTTGGCCAACTTGAAATATTTGATGGAACTTCATCTTGAAAGTAATGAATTTTCAGGTCCTATTCCATCATTTTCACAGGCAAGTTTAGCATCTATTGATCTGTCAAACAATAAATTACAAGGTGAAATTCCTCAAAGCATGTCAAAATTTGGTTCAGATTCCTTTAAAGGGAATAATGAATTATGTGGGAAACAATTAGGGAAAGAATGCAACAAGGAAAAAGAGAACAATACTTTTCAAAAAGCACCAATGTCCAAACTGAAATGGATAATTCTTGGTTTAGTAGTTGGTCTTCTGTTGATAACGATTCTCTTTAAGGCCAAGCGCAAGGAAGATCATTTCGACAAGCTTGGAAAAGAGAATCTTGACGAGGGGTTGCACGTTTCAAGCTCGAATAGGAAGAGCATGAGCATTCGTAGTGAGGGAGGTGATTCGGTGCATGGATCATCGCGAAGGGGAGCTGGATCGCAGAGGGGTAAGGCCATGGGCGATCTCGTGTTGGTAAACGAGGAAAAGGGTACGTTCGGATTGCCTGATTTGATGAAGGCAGCTGCTGAAGTCCTTGGAAACGGCGTGTTAGGATCAGCTTATAAGGCAAAAATGGTTAATGGACTGTCTGTTGTGGTGAAGAGGTTAAGAGAGATGAATAAAATGAATAGAGATGTCTTTGATACAGAGATCAGGAAAATTAGCAAGTTAAGGCATAGGAATATATTGCAGTTATTGGCATATCATTACAGAAAAGAGGAGAAGTTGTTGGTATCTGAATATGTTCCTAAAGGCAGCCTATTGTATCTATTACATGGTATGACAATATTATTTTTCAGCTCCCATTTCAATCTTTAAGGTTTGCAACTTCTTTTTTGAATTTGCATGAGTATATATATTTTGACGTTATGAGTTCATATATATTATTTATTGAAATTTTAGTGGATTTGAAGGAAAGCCTTGGTGTAGCTGGTAAAGTTACTGCCATGTGATCAGGAGGTCACGGGTTCGAGCCGTGGAAATAGTTTCTTGCATAAATGCAGGGTAAGGCTGCGTACAATAGACCCTTGTGGTCCAGCCCTTCCTCAGACCCCGCGCATAGCGGGAGCTTAGTGCACCTGGCTGCCCCTTTAATGGATTTTTACACATAAATTTATGTTTTGAGTCGAAAGTACTGGGTTCAGATGAACTCGATAATCTATACCTGCATCCGCCCCTGGATATACACTTTGTTCTTTATGTTAACTATCGTAATTTTGAACTTTCCCATGTACTTTTCAGGTGATCGAGGGATATCACACGCTGAGCTAAATTGGCCAACGCGCCTAAAAATCATCCAAGGAGTTGCAAGTGGAATGAGTTTTCTTCATTCTGAATTTGCATCATATGTGGTGCCTCATGGAAACCTCAAGTCAAGCAACATTCTACTAACTGAAAAATATGAACCACTTCTCTCAGATTACGCCTTTTATCCGCTAATCAACAACACACAAACCGTTCAATGCCTTTTCGCTTATAAATCCCCAGAAGCCATACAAAACGAACAAATCTCTCCAAAAAGTGATGTCTATTGTCTTGGAATCATAATACTCGAGATCCTTACAGGCAAATTCCCTTCACAGTATCTCAACAATCAAAAGGGTGGAACCGACGTTGTTCAATGGGTGCAATCGGCAATAGCTGAGAATAGAGAATCAGAATTGATTGACCAAGAGATAGCAAATGCAACAGATTCCATTGAACAAATGGTGAAGCTACTACATGTAGGAGCTGCTTGTACTGTAAGCGATCCGGATAAGAGGATTGACATGAAGGAAGCATCAAGGAGGATAGAAGAGATAAGTTTAATTTGATGGACATGAAATTTCCAAAAGGTGATAGGTTAGATCAGGAGGCCAAAAAAAAGAAGTAAGAACATTGTGAAGCTTACACTTAGTTTCGTTATCGGCCAGAGCTCCTAGCCCTTTGATTCTGTTTTATCTCAGTCAAACTCTACACATCTATCGATTCATTCTTCGCCACCTACTTGGTAGTAGGATCATACATACATACAATATGTATATAGAGAAGGTACAAAAATGGAAGAGCACTCAAAGATTGGTCAAAAAGTGCTAAATGACTAAGTGGTGGAGGAATGAGAAGGGCTTATTTCAAACAAATGTTACATTACTCTTTCAACTTAGAGGAAAAAAGAAGACAGATAAAGTGGAGTTGAGGTTCATTTGCCATTTTCTTTGGTGAATGCAGAGATATGTGGCCAAACAAAAGGAGTTCACTTTATATTTATGCATGAAATTGCCTTGATTTTGCATGTTCATCTATTAAGCAATAGCTTATTCATTTAAGTAATAAGTTCTTCTTCTAATAGTACATCTTCTGGTTTATTGTATAGTATGGTTTTCTTTTAGTTAAAAATGAGACTTAGATCTCAGGCTTAGATAAGAAGATCTTATCCAAACTTGCAGCAACAGTGTGATTATCTCTGCACTGATCAATTTCGACATATATTTTGAATATAACCTTCCGATTTCCCCTGCATTCAGTTGATGTTAGCTCACATTTTGTGGCGAAGACATCTTTTAGTAAGAGATGTCATCTGACACGGCTTCACAAATAGTTTTCCTTGTACAGTCAGACCTCTCTATAATTTATAATTATAATCTAGTTCTTCTTAACTCCTAAACAACATAAAAAGTTTAAATAGTACTCCTTCCGTTTTATGTTATATGATCCTGTTTGACTTGGTACATAGCTTAAGCAAAAAATAATTTATAATTTTTTTTTATGATCTTAAATATATCAGAAACTGCAAAAACTACACCTTCAAAAGTGAATTTTCATCAATTTTTTTCCCACTGGTTTTGTTGTATCTGACAACGACAGTATGTTAAATATTTTATGGAGATGAAAAGTATTCATTTTTAGCGAATTTAGGTTTATAATTATGAGACTTGCCCGCAAGGGTTGGCTGAGTTGGTAGTGTGAGCAGTTTTCCACATAAGTGAGATCGATTGCCCTCCCAGCAGCCTCCTCAGTCAGAGACCGCCGCACCGGGCTTGCCTAATGGGGTTTACATCTCTTGTGTGGTTTGTGAGCTATTGCATGTTACCAAGTGCGCACTCGAAGGGTAGATTTTCCACAAAAAAAAGAAGTTATAAAACTATTTTAGACCTCCAGTAACGGACCTTTTTTTGTAATTTTTTAACAAACCTTTCAATTATTTCTTTATCATGCGGAAAGGTCCAAAAATATCCTTGAACTATCCGAAATAGCTCAAAAATATCCTCCGTTCGTTTTTTGTGCCAAAAATATCCCTGCCGTCTATGTTTTGGCCCAAAAATGCCCCTAAACTATTAGTTTTGCCGTTGAAACTGACATGGCAGTCTAACTGGGTTAGAATTGCTTACAAGGACGTCCACCTAAGCAATCCATATGTGAAAATTATTTTTTCGGAATTTTTTTTCCAGAAATTTTTAATAAAATACAAAATCAACATTTATTCTGAAAAAAGTAAATTCTGAAATAAAAAAAGTTTTTCAGAATAAATGTTGATTTTATATTTTATTAAAAAATTCTGGAAAAATAAAATTTTCGAAAAAATAATTTTCACATATGGATTGCTTAGGTGGACGACGACCATGTAAGCAATTCTAACCGAGGTGGACTGCCACGTCAGTTTTAATGTCAAAACTAACGGTTGAGGGACATTTTTGGGCCAAAACATAGACGGCAGGGATATTTTTGGCACCAAAAACGAACGGAGGATATTTTTGAGCTATTTCGAATAGTTCAAGGATATTTTTGAACCTTTTCCGCTTTATCAATTTAGTAAATCGAATTTATTATTTTTAATTAAAAAGGGCATTTATAATTTCCAACAACCAAGCAAGAGGAAGTAGACATGGTTGATGGTACACAGACCAACTACACAGTAAATCTGAGAAAGGAAAAGAACAAAAGAGAAAAAAGATGGCTTCAGATTCTGAGCCAACAGCTTCCAAAATTGTTGCGAAGCTAAATTTGAAGCCACACCCAGAAGGCGGATTCTACTCTGAAACATTCAGAGACTTCTCTGTTACTCTCTCCAAATCCCACCTTCCACCTACTTGTAAGTCTTCTGTTTATAAAGTTCTTTACTTTTTTGATTTGTGGCTCGTTCTGTATAAAGTTCTTTACTTTTTGATTTTTTGGGTCTTTCTGGATAAATTTCTTTAGTTTTTGATTTGTGGGTCATGAATCTTTTTAACTGTCGTCTGTCTTGATCCTTCCAATTAAGCTGCTCATGGGATTTTTGAATCTTTGTCTGTTTCTCTTCCACGTGTGGCTTTTTGGGATATATAGGTTATGGGGTTTTACTACAACAACAAAACCAACATAACCGGTGCGGTCTCACTTGTGGTCTGGGGAGGACAATGTGTAGGCACATCTTACTCCTACCTTGTGAAGAAGGTAGAAATGTTGTTTCTGATATTAGGAGGTTTTACCACAACAACAACAACATAACTAGTGCGGTCCAACAAGTAGGGTCGGGAGAGGATAGTGTGTAGGCAGACCTTACCCCTGCCTTGTAAATATAGAGGCTGTTTCTGATGTTATGGGGTTTTACTATGCAGTTTAATTACAAGTGTACAGTGAAAGAGAAGATGGTTTTAGTAGCATACGATTGAGGTTAAAATGAGAGAAGGTTGCTTGAGATCCGTAGGTGTGAAGCCATGGCGAGTGAAGGTGTTAAAAGGGGACGACGTAAACTAAAATCATATGGAAGTAAGTTAGAGACTCATAATCTCTAGATCTAAATCTTTCTCCATTTTCTCCACCAAAGGATAACGATTCCAAGGAACTCAATGCACAAAGGAAAAAGAGGGAGGGAGGTTAAATCATGCGTGGAGGCCACATTCTCAATGTACTTTCGGATTGCCTTGATAATCTATACATTGTCGAACCTAAGGGCAACCCGGTGCACTAAGCTCCCGTTATGTGCGGGGTACGTGCATGGGCCGGACCACAAAGGTCTATTGTACGCAGTCTTACCCTGCATTTCTGCAAGAGGTTGTTTCCACGACTCGAACCTATTGGAAAAATTATGAATGTAGGACACAAAATTAAGGCTTGAAACACCTTATAAAGGTTTCCCTCTCATTTGCGAGATTGCTATGGGATTGAATGCAAATAGTTTTTGTGGATATGACAAGCCTCTTGAATTTCTAAACTAAGCAAATAGTGGAGAAATTTTGGTTAGGAGAACAAGTATAGCAACTTGATCTTTTAAGTGTAATAACTTGGACAAGAAAGATAGTTTGAAAATAGTTGTATGGAAGAATGGTGGGCCATTCTGCATACTGGATGTATTACTGAATTCAACTCCATTCAGAAGTTTGATGAATGACAGCTGTTTCTTTTGATAAATTATTGGGAGCACTCAACAGCTTTTTCTCATCGATGAAGATTTGATTAAAGTGTTCCGTATCCACTAGATGATAACAAATCATGTCCACTTAACTGGTACACTGACCTTTTCTGAAAAAAGTATTAGTTGGTTAACTTACAAAAAAGAAGGTACACTGACCTTTTCTTGAATGAAAAAAGTTAACTTGCGAAAACGTGTTAAGAACTGGAGTGAATTTTGGTGATTCATTCAACTTCAATGCTTGTGGTGTTCTGCCACTAATTGGGGCATTCCATTGTCTTGAGCACTTAAAATATTTCGTCAAGATGATGCAATTCTGTTTTCTGTTCTTAAGTTCTGACTGGTTTCTCAAGTGTAATATGAGTATCATTTACCTCATAGCAGAGAATACTGGTTGAAATTATCATTCTCAAATTGGTTTGTTTTTCCCTGATCTTTCTGATTATGCCTTTGCAGATAAGGTTGATCGACCTATCAGTACATGCATTTACTTCTTGGTGCCTTCTGGAAGTTCGTCTCACCTTCACCGGATACCATGTGCAGAAACATGGCATTTTTATATCGGAGAGCCACTTACGGTAACTATTCATACACTATAGTGAATGATCTTTCCTGTGGTCCGCATGGATTATTATGCACCATATTATCTTTGCGTATCTGACCTGTTTTCTGCATCGTTCTGTATATTTAGTGTCCTGCTTTGTGTTAATGTGTGAACTGGAAATGGTTTGGCTGGAATGACTCAAACACAAGTGTTAAGCAAACTTTAAAGAACTGTTAGGGTCATCATATTTCCTATCCGGGTAGTTTCTACCATTTGTCTGCTCTGAATATTAAATGACACACTCGATTTATGACTGGCTAGCAAGGGACCATATGACATGAAACAAATTCTAATTGCAGTTAGTTCATTGCAATTCAAACATAGCTTATTCTTTCCATTCCTCATCATCTCACCTTGATTGAACACCAGTTGGCCACATCTCAGCAATGGTGGATTTGATATACCCTTTGGGCTATGGGTTCATGTGCACCCATATTCCTAACATGGATGAAATATATATATATATATATATATATATATATATATATATATATATATATATACACACACACACACACACACACACACACACATATATATATATATGTGTGTGTGTGTGTGTGTGTGTGTATCCTCCGGGGGCAGGCAGTGGATTCTCATGTTGTAAGTCTTGATCTTGAAGTCTTACAAAGCATGTTAACCATCACAGCTAGTATATCAAACTTGCATTCAACAGTGGTCAATAGAGCCGTAGACATCCTTAAACATGGTCCTACTTTCATGGATTGGTTTATCCTGCTATTAATTGAGCAAATGTGATTGAATTTTATAGTAATTAGTTTAATTAAAACTGAGTTTTGAGCAAAAAATAGTCTCACTTCTGATGAGTCAAGTAATTTCTAATAATTCTTGAGGATGGCAGACTCAAAACATATTGGATTAAGAATATTGTGATGAAATTTTTTGAGAACAATTTCAACTTAAAATAAACGGAGCAAGAAAACAATTTCCTTGTTAATGATATTTTTTCTCTCTTGGCTTGGTGTAGTACTCACACGCTTTCAACAAAGTGTTTTTCTCATAATAATTGCTATGAAAATTCTGCTTGCAGGGTTTCAGTTAGATAATTAGTAAAGTTATTTGAAGATAAGTATTTTCTTCCTTTTTGGTTGTTTTCTGTTCTAATATTTGTGATATTCTTAATTAGATAAGAACACTGAAAGTTAGCGCCCGATTTACCAATCAATGAAACTGCTTTGCAGATACCATGGCTTCATCATCAAACAAACCAGTTAGGGCACGTCAAGCTAGAGATAATATTCCCCTTCCGGCTAGGCAAGGGCCTTCAAAGTAGGAAATGATAATCGAAGAGTTAAAGCGTTGGGATAAAGTCGAGGCTACCTATCGCTTGACTATCAACAACTTAACTGCCGAATGTGATGATACAAAGACTGCAGTGATAGAGAGCATAATGAAATGAAACTGTGGTATCTAATCTAAAATTCAGGAACGTCTGTAGCTCGACGAGGCTTTGAAGTATCAAATGCTGGCCGTAGATTTAGCCTACCGTCGAGGACAACGTTTGGTGGATAGGGACCGCACTATTCAAGCCATGTCCTCGGCGGAAGGCTAGATCTACAGCTAGCATTTGACACTTCAAAGCCTCGTCGAGCTGCAGACAAACCTGAATTTTAGAGTAGATAGCGCAGTTTCCTTTCATCATGCTCTCTATCAGTGCAGTCTTTGCATCATCACGTTGGGCAGTTAAGTTGTTGATAGTCGAGCGATAGGCAGCCTCGACTTTATCCCAATGCTTTAACTCTTCGATAATCATTTCCCACTCTGAAGGCACTTGCCTGGCCGGAAGGGGAATGTTTTCTCTAGCTTGCTGTGTCTTAGCTGGTTTGTTTGATGATGAAGCCACGGTATCTACAAAACCAGAAAGTTTGGGGATCGAGTCGACTACTTTAAACACGTCCTGATGCCTTTAAATCAACGTTTGTTTAACAGTTGATACCATGAAAATCAGAGAGGTTAGGGATCAACTACTTTTAAAGCGTCCTAATATCTTTAAATCAACGCTTGTTTAACCGATAACACCAGCCTAAACATATGCGCCCCATTTTCCGAACATTGCTTGTCCATAGCATCTTTCTGGACTAACATAACACACTTTTTTTTGGAAAACGGTGAAATCTACACGGCTTTTTAAGCATTTTCAGTCTCAGAGGCCATTTCAATTCCTCGTGGGACTTAATGACTCATACAACCATGCCCTCGGAAGATAGATCTTACTCGCAATAAGGACATCAAAGTCTAAGAGTTGCCAATGGCAATATACACTGCCAAAGGAAGCAATTTGAAACCTAAAAAGAGGACCTATACTGCAATGTTATCATCGTCACATAAGGTCATACTAGAGAGAATTGCTACTACATAATTTGTTATCCTTGAGATTTTAAGTCCAAGAAGAAGTTTGTGCCAGCTGCAAACAATGTGGCCATTCAAGAAGAGCACAGGGACAGTTTCAAAAAGATACAGGGGTAAGTAATCATAAGATATTACTAGGATCTTGGATTGAATGAAATAAACGATGTTTCATCTAAAGGAAAGAGTATAATATGCTGCTCCATACCTTTTTTACCGCCTTTGTAAACCCTAATGGCTGAGTTTCAAATCTTTGGTGGCGTTACCTAATTTGTGGTTCTGAGTAATGTTAAGATTATTACAGCAATCAAAGCATTCGTAATTAAGGTCGTGCGAGAAAATTTGAAAATTCAGTTACCTTGTAGCTTTGCCTGCCGAGATTATGGGCGCCTTAAAGAGACATTACAATTTACAGTGGTCTAAAAAGATATTTTACCATGGAAAAATGTGTCAAATCAACCCTTTTGCTTTCATTCTGGGAAGAGTAAAAGTTTGTGATGAGGAAATGTAAAATTTGGTGCACCACTATAAAATTTTATCATGGGAAGAGTAAAAGTTTTTCGTGTGGGGATATTTTGTTACTCCACTATAAAATTTATTGCAGTATTTGCCATTTTAATAATATGTTACTGAAGGCTGCTATTATATCGTAAACTAATGTTGTAGTTACCATTATTCGACACAAAATCGAAACAATTTTATTAGCTCAAAACTTGAACATAAGTTATTGTTTATTGAATTGAACATGACCTAGATCGTCAATTGCAGTAGTAATAAGTAACCATAGCAATTCGTAAATTAATATTGTGGTTACATGTGTAGTAATTTAAGCTGTTATTTTTCAGGTATTTAGTTCCACTATTTATGATTTATTCAGGTGGTCACTTCTAAACGACCACGTCAGTGTATAGAAATAAAACTCGTACTCTCCTTAATTGGCTAGATAAATAAATTACTTAAATTTTTTCCTCTCATTTTAATAGTTTTTCGAGAAAAATATCTGATTCATTCTGGAAAGAGTAAAATGTTTTCATGGGAAATGTATAAAAGAATTTCCAAACGACTGGTTCATTAATTTCTTTTAATTTTGGGGATGTCGAAGCTTTCATCCGAAAAATCATTCCGTCTATTTATTGAGTGATTGATGTCGATCTCTCTTTGCAGAAGCCAAGAAAAGTGAAATGAAAACAGAAGAGGGAAATCACTGTACCCAACTTGGTACAATTATAATCACTTTTTTTTCAGATTCCACTTAGTAAAATTTTTGATTTTTCATGAAAATTGTGAAAACCACTTTTTCTAATTTATCGTTTGGGCAGCTTCAGCAGAATTTACCAGCTACAGTAACTTTTATAATTTATTCTATAAAATTAAACACAGTGTTAGTAATATCGTTTGGTTACCATGTGGATAAATAAAGATATCACAAGGGATTAGCTATCCCATCTTCTATGAGATAGTTCCTCCCACTATTTTGGTATAAAATTTGTTATCCATATAAATACAAACTCATATTTTATACCGGGATTAGTATCATTAAATATTTGTCCTTTTTGGCTTTAAGGCAAGGAGTGTTGGCCTTTGTTGCATTTTGTTATGAGAAAAACACTTTGTTGAAAGCGTGTGAATACTATACGAAGCCAAGAGAGAATAAATATCATTGAAAATGAAATTGTTTTCTTGTTCTGTTTGTTTTAAGTTGAAATTCTTCTCAAAGTAGGATCACGTTTAAGGATGTCTAGGTCCCTATTGACCACTGTCGGATGCAAGTTTGATCTATCAGCTGTGACAGTTAAACATGCTCTCTAAGACTTCAAAATCAGCACTTCCAACAGGAGGAGAATCCACTGCCTGCCCCCAGAGGATATATATCATATACGTATATATATGTGTGTGTGTGTGAAAAGATACAATGAGTTTAATTTTTAAAGGTTGAACCCATCAAGTTTAAAGGTTGGATCCGCCTCCACATCTAGTTATCATCTGGTCCGGTACTCTTGTTTCTTATTTTGGATCTTCATAATGGAAGCATTTTTTATTCCCTGTTAAGAGTATGCATTGCTTATTCACTAATATTACACAATGATGACATTTTCTGTGTTTACAGGTAATGGAACTAAATGAGACTGATGGCAAGGTGAAGTTAACTTGCATCGGACCCGACCCGCTTGCAGATGATCAACTGGTGCAGTACACGGTACCTCCAAACGTATGGTTTGGCGCATTTCCTACAAGGGACTTCAACATTTCTGCCGATATGAAAGTAACGAAAGCGCCTGCAAGGGATGGTGAGAAGCACTTCTCTTTAGTTGGATGCACCTGTGCTCCAGCATTCCAGTTTGAAGATTTTGAACTGGCGAAACGTTCTGAGCTTGTTTCGCGTTTTCCTGCTCATGAATCCCTTGTCTCTTTGCTCACCTTCCCCGAGTGAGAGTGAACATGCTTAGTCTTTTGTTTCTTTAAAAGATCTGTAAAACTTAATATTGTCTTCAATTCCGTCATATTTGGGCAACCTGAACAGTTGCTCATTTCCTGTCTAACTTTAGTATTCAAGTATTGGTGTGTAATTTGATCTGAGTGTCAATAAAAGGTGATCAGTGAGCTATTTAGTTGAATAATTTCCTTTTTTCAGCACACCCCCACAATAGTAGGAAGAAGCAAGGCATATTTTGACAATCAGCGATAAATAAAGTCTAAATTTGTCACTAAACTTAACGAAAGGGTTTATATATGTCCTCTATTTAATAGTTGAGACATGTGGCAGTTCCAGGTGCTAATCAAAATGTTGAGATGCTCCAATTAATGCTCCATTTATCAATACGGGCAAGCAAAACATACTTGAACCCCAACTATTAACGGATAGCATATCTAAGACCATTTCGAACAAACTTTGGGCCCTTTCCATATTTTAATTCATGTCATGATAAAAATCGAAATTAATTGACACCCAATTATTTTTTTCAGACTTTATCCTTGATATTTTTCAGAACTCAAGAACTGTTTCTAAATCCCATATATTTTTTTTTATTCCTATTTTAATAAATATCCAGTGAAATTTTGACGTTGCCCTAAACATGGTTTTCTATTAGTTCCACGCGCGTTGCCTTGAGGATTATCACTATTTTGAGAAACATTATATTATCGAATTTATAAAGGGTTTCCTATTCAAGTTCCGAAATAGTTTTGTTAATCTCTTTAAACAAATTGTTAGTAGCTAGTAGCTAAGATCAGAGAGTGGAAATTCAACCTTTTGCCTTTAATCAACCACTAGATTCTCCTTTGTATTGTATTTATTAACGAAGAGAAGCAAAGAGTAAATTTTAAATACTAGAACTAATTCGACATGCATCTAACCAATTAGTTGTGTAAAAAAATGGCGTGTGGTAGCCACTAAATAAGGTGGTGTTTATTTTTTATCCACCAATTCTAACGCTGAGCAAAAATAGCAACTACTCTATTAAAATTATTTTGAAAAGATAATTTTACCCTTTCTTCCATTTCTTTTCTTCCCAAACCCTCGCTTCTCTCTGTACAGAAGTGGCTGGCTATGTGTGCTTCTCTCTCAATCTCTTCTGTGCATTTTTTCTCTCAGTAACACATGGCTATGTCTCTGATCTTAAACTCGCCCTTCAGCCAAGTTATTCTAAGTTTACATCCTTAAATGCATTATAACTTATTAGTTCCTTCTGTATAAAGTGTCTTTTAATTCATGTGTTTGTGTCTCGAAAAAACACCACGAATGCCTTTTAGAAGATATTTCATGAAAGAGAAAATGAAGGTTCTGTAGTCTTTTATCTTTTTAGTTGATTCTTTTTGTTATTAGCTTTCTGTTGTGTAATTTGACATCAATCTTATATGTAAATTGCAATTATTATTATTATTTTTTTTTTTTGTGAAAAGATACAAATAACGTTTGGTTTTCTGCTACGTTATGAATCCTGAACTTACAGTTACAAGTTCAAAAGTTAAGGACACTTGGTCCTGAACTTCGAGTTCCAAGTTCAAAGGTTAAGGACACGAACTTAGAATTACAAGTTCAAAAGTTAAGGGCACTTGGTCCTTAACTTAGACTAACAAGCTCAAAAGTTAAGGACAATAGGTCCTGAACTTACAGTTACAAGTTCAAAAGTTAAGGACAATACGTCCTAAACTTAGGCTAAGAAGCCCAAAAGCTAAGGACAATATGTCCTGAACTTAGACTAGCAAGCTCAAAGTTAAGGATAATAGGTCCTGAAGTCCTAAACTTAGACTAACAAGCTCAAAAGTTAAGGACAATAGGTTCTGAACTTACAGTTACAAGTTCAAAAGTTAAGGACAATAGGTCCTGAACTTAGGCTAAGAAGCTCAAAAGTTAAGGACAATAGGTCCTGAACTTAGACTAACAAGCTCAAAAGTTAAGGACACTTGGTCCTGAACTTACAGTTACAAGTTAAAAAGTTAAGGACATGTACTCCTGAAGTCCTGAAGTTAAGTTCAAAAGTTAAGGACATGTAGTCTTGAAGTCCTGAAGTTAAGTTCAAAAGTTAAGGACATGTAGGGTGTGTTTGGTATGAAGGAAAACATTTTCCGGAAAATATTTTCCAATTTTTCCATGTTTGGTTGGCTTAAATGTTTTGAAAAATATTTTCCTTATCAACTCATTTTCCTCCAATTGGAGGAAAATGTTTTCCTTATTAAGAGAAGGGAAAACATTTTCCAAAACTCCTTCTCAATCTTCCCCACCCTATTCCCCCAACCCACACCCACCCACCCAACCCCACCTCACCCCCTCTCTCCAAAACGGATTTTCTTTTTCAAATTTCAGTTTTTTTTTGACCACCCACCCTGCTATCCCTCCCCTCCCCCACCCCCCCCCCCCCGAAAAATTTTTTTAAACTTTTTTTGTAATTTCAAAAATTTTCTATTTTTTTTTGTTTTTCCTGCACCCCCACCCCCACCACCCCACTCCCAGTCCCCCAACTAAAAAAAGTTTTTTTTTTTTTTTTTTGTAATTTTCAAATTTTCTATTTTTTCGTTTTTCTGCGCCCTCCCACCCCCCCACACCCCCTCCCCACAAAAATTCTTTTTTACTTTTTTTTTTGTAATTTTAAATTTCTGTTTTTTCGTTTTTCTACACCCCAAACCCTCCCCCCTCCCCCCCAAATTTTTTTTTACTTTGTTTTTTTGTAATTTTAAATTTCTTTTTTCTGCACCCCCCCTCTCCCCCGAAAAAGTTTTAGTTTTTTCATCTTTCGGTTTACAGGTTCGAAATTTTACAAGTTACAAAGTTATGAGTTCGGAGGTTTATGTGCTTGAAAGTTTACGGGGTCGAAAGTTCACGATTTTTGCATAAAAAAGTAAAGTAGCACATTAGTTCCTTCGGGTTGTGTCAATTTTTAGAGACTTGGGGAAGGGGTGGGGGGAGGGGGAGGGTTGAGGAGAGTTGCATAAAAAATATTTTCCTAAAAAAAATATTTTCTACGCTCTAACCAAACAATAAAAAATATTTTCCGGAAAATGTTTTCCGCTCACCAGCCAAACAAGGAAAAATAAGTGATAAAACCACTCATTTTTCATGATTTCATGGAAAACATTTTCCTTCATACCAAGCACACCCGTAGTCCTGAAGTTAAGTTCAAAAGTTAAGGACATGAGCAGAAGGGTATTTTCGTCCGGGCAGTTAAAGTTTATTAAAGCAGTGGGTAAAGACTAAAGACATTTTAAACAGTGGCTTAAAAGTAAATACATGTATTATTAGTGGCTAACCGTACACTTCCCCCACTAGTTGTCTTAATTAAACGACATTTTTAAGATGGAAGTACTCTTAAGCTAATATACCAGCTATGTCATTTTACTCTCTGCTAGTTTACTGTTAATCAGTGACAGAAAATCGGAAACATTTACCTTAGAATTTATATATAGGTTAAACTCTATTAAGCAACCAAATTGTATATGTTGAAATTAATATTTTTATAAAAATGTATCTATTTATACGAAATTTACCCTCATAAAAAGAATAGTTGGTGCAATGATACAATATACATTAATTTAAAATTTTGAATCCTCCCCTATGTTCTCGACCAACCAATAAGTCTCACTAAGAGGCGGATCCATGATTTAAAATTTATGGTTTCAATCTTTAATCATCTTAGCATTGAATATATTATATTTTTAAATTTATAAATTCAGATCTATCATTTGTTGCGCTTTTAATAAATTTTACACATAAATTTATGCTTCGCGTCGAGAATTATATTATGAGTTCATATGAACCCAATCCACAACTCTACATCCCCCCTAGTCCCACTCCACCTATTTTTGCTCCACTAGATCTATCTGCCTCTTTTTTCTGTCCTCTTTAGCCTTTAGGCACGCCTATTCTCCTCTCCAACGTACGTTGCATCCTCATTAAACTTTAGAGGTCTGCTCTTGCAAAATCAAGAGATTGTTTCAGGATTTAAATATTATGAGTTTGATTTGGACTACTACAATTCATTTGATATACTGTATTTATATATATATATATATATATATAGGATCCGAGCCAAAATTATTGGATTCATATCCTTATATAACTACATATATCCAATACCCCCCAAGCAAAATGTATATACCGGAATCGAATTTCTCATAATCAAATTCATCTGACTATTGACAAATGACAATGCGTTAATAACAAATACTCCGAAAAATTTTAATGTCTAAATTGATAAATAAAACCAATTATTTATAAGCTGCCACCGTGGGCGAACTTTCCACGACAAGCATCAAATTATATACCAAGGGAGTAGTGATGTGCATATCAATATATCCTACTTTTCACGTTGCCATCTAGAGATAGTTTTCCCGGAGTTAGAATACACAGTTGGAAGAGAACGCCAGTATATCAGTTCATCTTCATCAAAGGCTAAGATGAGAGGGAAACAACCATTAATAATATAGTCAAACCTCTTTATAACAGTCTCGTTTGTTCCGAATATTTTTGGATGTTAGAGTGTTGTTATATAGAACATATATTATAACATAACATAAAAATTGATTCCGGACTGTACAATACGTACTAGTCAAAGTCAACAAATTCCATTCTCTTTCTCATGGAACCCTTAAGTTCTGCTGCATCCTTGTCTGCCTTTTGAGCCTGCATGTGACAAATTTTTTTTTTAATAGAAGGTAAAGACTACAAATTGCTATGAAATTAAGTTCATAAGAGGAGCCAATATATATTCTAATTTATTTGGCACTCTTTTCTGTTTTAAATCTATTTCAAAAAGAATATTATAATTAACCGCTCTATATATAGAAATAATTGAACTGAAACTTTCAGGTTTACCTTTAATGACATATTACTTTTATGGCCGCAAAAGAAGGGAGTAACACATAAAAATCACCTGATTAGGCAACTAGGCATGCAAGCAAAAATACATGCATGCTGCTTGTTATAGTTTATCTATGTGTTAAAATACGTCATTACCCTTTTGATTTCTGCAACGGACACACAAGTCATGTGTGGCAAAAGCTCCTCCTCGGTAGACTCCTACACCATCACTCTTAACCATTAACAAGATGTAAAAACATGTAGTATGAGATATTATTATATAGCTCAAACGAAGATTTAGGGTATTAAATAATTAGTGAATGCATGCATGAGTGTCACTGCACTCACTACTACTTTCTCCAGTTAGAGCAGATTTAATATAGATGTATGTTTTTTCTTTAAAAATCAATATATATCAAGTCAAAAACTAGTAGGTATGATTGCACTCGTTGTGTTAATCTACCTTTGTTATGGTGCTCGATACAGAGGTGAAGTCATGACTTTAACCTTATGTATTCTGAACTTTAGAATGACTAACTTCAAGTGCTAATTAATAATTGGGTTCTAAATTTAATATTTGAACGCAAATATACTGTTTGAACAAAAGCTACTGGGTTCAGTCTCCGACCCTAACTCAATATAAGAGGCTGCATGAAGAGAGTATTCCGTCTCAAGACACAACAACACTAATTATATATATTGATGGTGTAAAAGACCACACATAATTTACAAATTAGCGAATCATATTTAGTATATGATGGTTTTTACATGATGAGTCGCGTAAAAATTCTTGACACTGTCAGTGTATAAACTATTACCCGTTCTCCGATGAGCACAACATTCTCCCCACGAATAACGTAGAGACCCAAAGGTATGTCGCAATAGAGATTTCCAACCATTACTCGTTCAGAGGTACCTTCCAATACTATATTTGCTATTCAAAAAACAGTAAAGAGGAAAACATCAAAAAGACTAAGCATGTAAAAAGATAAATACAATAGAAAGAAATAGCTAGAAATACTGAAGCTTAATAAAATAGAATTTACCATATTGATCGAAAGAATGGAACATTCCCAAGAGTTTTCTGCCATCTCGCAGTAATATTAGAATCTTTCCTATAAAAAACACGTCATTCAGTCGTATAAAGACCATGGAAAATCAGTATGCATGACCAGAGACGAATTTAAAATCTAGAGTCAGTCGGTTCACAAGAATGCTATATATTGTATATATGTATGCAAATCTTTTTGCATACATATACATATTCCGAAAGCAATAAATTCAGTTGAACGACATATCAACCCAGTAACATAAGGGTAAAAATAACTTTTTTAGATATATAAACAGTCAGATCTCTCTATAACAACATTTCACTATAACTGCCAACCATTTTTCATGTTATGTTAGGAAATATGTACTTCACTATAACAACCAAAAAATATCGAAACAGACGAGGCTGTGATAATTAAAGTGGTTTGATTGTAATCCTTTAAGTCGTCAACATAAAAGAAAACTTCTAGATGGAGTACTTTTGTCTTTCTTTGAATTCCCTTGTTAAAAATTCTTGGCTCCGCCCACTGTGCATGGCAAACCAGGATGAATTATGCTGCATTATTTCATTTGTTGAAATTAATTCATCAATAATCGAACAGTATTAACAGACACATGATAAATTACAGAAATTAAGGAGAAAAGGATGAGAGGGAGAAAGAAAAGGTTTCATACTATCAAGATAACTTGCAAGGCTAGAAGAGAATAAGTTGTATTCTGATGAGTCTGACGAAGACATGGATACTCAGTTTATATATTGTCTGAAGCAATCTTCACTTCAACCTTAAAAACCATTCAAACTAAGTGTTTCCTTGCTTGTTAGCGCTGTTTTTTTTTGCAGCGCAAAATAAAAAAATTAGTTCATGCCACGACGATCAATATAGAATTAAGACAAGATGTTTATAAGATGAAAAAATGGCATCAGGAATGTAAGATAAGGAGTAGTGTGGAGTACCTGGAAATGACATTATTATAAACTATATATATACTATATATTTATTAGAGAAAAAAGTCATTTACTTTAAGATAAGATATAGTTGGGTTTTTTTTTCAAGTGGTGTAAGTGTTTGGTGAACCTTTTTGGACGGTGGCTTTGCAGAAAAAGGGATACCATCTTTTTCTCCTCATTCCCAATTTTCCATGATTCTCTCCTTGACATTTTCCTAACACTAAGGGTGTGCTATGTTTGGTTGGCTTAAATGTTTTGGAAAATATTTTCCTTATCAACTCATTTTTTTTTTATTGGAGGAAAATATTTTTCTTATCAAGAGAAGGGAAAACATTTTCCAAAACTCCTTCTCAACATTCCCAACCCTCACCAACCCACCCCCCTCTCCAAAAAAGACTTTTTTAAAATTTCAGTTTTTCTGTTACCACCCACACTCCTTACCCTCCCCCCCCCCCCCCCCAAAAAAAAAAAAATATTTTTCAGTTTTAGTTATTTTTTATCGGTTTAAAGGTTCAAAATTTTACAAGTACCAAAGTTATGAGTTCGGAGGTTTATGTGTTTGGAAGTTTACGGGTTCGAAATTTCCCGATTTCGAAAGTTTAGCGGTTCGAAAGTTTATGAAATTTGTGGATTCGGAAGGTTGTTGGTTTGAAAGTTTATGGCTTCATGTTTATTATATCTAAATTATTTATGAATACTCTTGAGAAGTCATTTTCCTTAATTTGCATACCAAACATCGAAAAATGAATAAGATTACTACTTATTTTCCAAAAAAATATTTTCTTGGAAAATATTTTCCACGAAAAACATTTTCCGTTATACCAAACACACCCTAAATCCTTGTAGGATGCTACATTACATAGAGCACTAGTATTTTACTTATGAATTTGAGTTATATATATATATATATATATATATATATATATATATATATATATATATATTATATATATATATATATATATATATATATATATATATATATATTAACCGTGTAAATAATTTTTTATATCACCAGTGTATTTTATTGATGTAACATATTTAATCCTATATTTTATAAGTTAACCATATCATGCTTGATATGATGAGTTATTTATTATTGTAGGTTAATTATAACTGAGGTTGTAAAAAAGTTATACACTATTACTGCACAAAAAATGACACTTTACTTATAGACAAAGTAAAATCAAGACATAGATTTTAGTCAATTTAGTTTAGTTGACTTTCTTCTTCCAATAATTGTTAGCACTGTATATTATATTGAAGGTTCAAGACACTTTCACAATGTGCAGATAGAGAGAATGAGAAAGAAAGGGATAAGATATATATATATGATTTATTTCAGTATTGAAATATTATTTTGGTGGTTGAACAAATTGAAAGTACGAGAAACTTCTTCAATTATCCACAACCAAATACATCATTTTTATCCACAAAATACAATTTTTCCATTAATTAATTTATCGGCTCATCTAAGAATTAGTGCTAATCGCTCTCAGTATTAATGCAGCCAGTGGCATGGACAAAATGTGTGGGTCAAAATCAGACCACGCGTGGATTAGCGCTAATAGGAATAGTAAGCCGTGGTCGTACCCACAGGGTATAATAACAACGAAGACCTCGGCCACTGTCGAGATCGAGCCATCCAAAAGCCTGCATGGTGAAGTAAATATCGTGATATTTGAGGGAGGCGACGTGAAGGACAGTCAAGGGATGAGGGCATTCTGATTAAGGACCGATAGACAAAAGGGAATACTGATAATATATATAGGAGGTAAGAAGACAAGAAAGGGGGCTCTCTCTCCTTCAAGAGAGAGAAATAGAAGAACAGGAGAGAACCTCTGACAACAACAAAGTGAAAGTCTAGATCTTGGTTGCAAATCTTGGTAATCAGCATGGCTGAATCAATAAAGATAGATCCCTTAGCCATCAATAGCATTCTCTCTTTTTCTTCTTTGCTCTTACATTACGGAACAATGCATCAAGAATGTAAGCTTGTTGTTTATGTTTGATATCTTATTGACCTTTAAAAGAGTTATAAGCATGATTATATTCTGTTCTCGTCTTTAGCATGCATTGATCTAGAGTTAATTATCCGTGGCTAAGATTTATCCATTATTTCCTCATTAATTAGTTTAACAAAGAGCTTAACACTTTTTGGTCAAACACAAAATATTTATTTATTTCATACTGTATAACGAGTTTTAAGTTGTATGTGTTGGTAGTGTAAGAATATTTATAAGTTACATAATAGGTAAATTTTTTTGATATACATTAATTGAAAACATGATAAAAATGATACTTACGTTATAATAGGTTAAGCCAAACTGATGTGTAAAAAAAAAAAAAAAAAATTCACTGTGACTACATATATAACATTATAACTTATATTCTTTTAACTTGCTTCACTTTTGCTCATGAAAAGTTAAGCTCTCTACTTCTATGCTCACCAAATAGCAACTTTACATGTCTTACTTGCATCACAGCTGATTTTTATATCTATCATGAAATAATTAGACAAAAGCATCACCCTTTGTCGATCATGAAATTAACAAAAAAAAAACTAGGGAGGTGAAAATTGAAGGCGCCTTTATTAGCGAGCATTTTCAAAATGAGATTTACTAACATGAATTTGGATTAATCAGGCCCCAAAGCGTGTACGTTTATGCTTTCAAAATCTAAGTTATCTTTGATTTAATCAACGTGCGTTGCTTTAATGATTATGATTAAGTTGATAAAAAGGACATCTCATAAAATACCGCCCAGCAAAAGTGACGTTTGGTTTGTCCCACAACTCTTTCGATTGTCGATAATTTGATTCTCCATATTATTGTATGGTAGATCAACTTTCCTTCAGCTTTAATTATCTACATTTCTTGTATTTTGAGCTAGCAGATTGAGCATTACGTTATTTGGTTGACTACCTGAACTTTCATCTCGTTAGTGATGGCTCGATTTCCGACCACCTTGTAATCCCTACCCCTACCCTATGTATAGAATATGGAGACTCTTCCTGATGACGGATCCTTTAGACAATTTTCTTGAGGGAAGTTAGTCTAGAGAAAAGACCAAAAAGATTTTTTTCATTTTTTTTATTTGTAGGTAGTGTAGCAACTCCCCCTTGGTTTCTCTTTGGGCCACGGTTCTTTTCCAAGGGTTTGACTTGAACCGGGTATAGGTAGTTTTGTTTTTGTTCTTTTTAGTTTTAGATTAGGATTAATGGGCTACGAGCTAAGAACCCTTAGCGTTTTTACACCTGAACACAGTAGACACTAGAGTGTAACGCTTAGCTTCAAGGGTTGAATCTTGTTTAAGNACTACCTGAACTTTCATCTCGTTAGTGATGGCTCGATTTCCGACCACCTTGTAATCCCTACCCCTACCCTATGTATAACTAAAAAATTAAATAAAGAAAAAGAAGGGTTGTGCTAGAACAAATCAAGAAACCAAAGAATCTAAATATCCCAAATGCTTTGGCCAATATATATATATATATATATATATATATATATATATATATAAGATGGATATTAATGATTGATGAATTCATCGGTTCCAGAGTGTGGTGATGCCTCGTATGATCAAGGTGGTCAATTGAACACCATTCGCCGAATAATTATATTGTCTATATAAGTCAGATATTACCCTATATATATTTATGTTAAATATCCTTAACGAAATTCTTACCTTTAGCAACGAGTTCTCGAAACTGTACCTATTGAAGGGGTCTATCATATCTTTAGTATCTTTTTATGGAGTTTAGCCAGAATATGCAAATAAACTAGCATTTGATCTTAATTAGTTAAAGGGTAATTGAGGAGTTAAATTTTTGGAAAAATTGATTTGTGAAAGAATAGATGAGTAAAGTTTTAACACCTATATAAAACGGAATTCAAAATTCAAATGAATATGGTTTCCCTTAAAGTAGAAAAATAACGATCAATATTTCACAGTAAAATAAAGGGAACGTGGAACAAAGAGAATGATATACAAGATCCATGCACATGCATATCACTTGTAACGTTTGAGTAAAAACGCATGAATTATGAATATGTAATGAATAGCCAAAATAAGCCGAAAGCTGTAATCTGTCTTGACTTGGTATTTTCTTCTCCCCGATTACAAATATCCAAAACCAATTCAAAAGGTTATTTACAATAAGTTGGTAGCAATTGGCAACATTCTTGACAATTGCTTAGTAGAATAAAATATGTACCTATTGACAAAATGTTGTAATACAATTGATACCAAACACGGGGAGAAAAAAAAACTCATGAAAAATGTTCACTATCATCTAATTGTATACTCTCTCATTTTTGACACAACATACAACAAAATCTTGTGGAATTTAAGGCTTATAATTTGTTCTCACTTATCATTTCCACAGCAGCAGTATTGACAGCAAGCAAAGCAACCTAAACATCCCAATGCACCTAGCAATTGTGAGAGTGCAATTGCACACTGATGATTCATCTTAGAACATGTCCTAATACAGCAACCGCAACAGCAGCATATACCACACAATTTTACGCAACAATTAGACGTTGCTTTTGCGATAATCTCTGCTGCTTCGTCCTCTGACTCGATGGCTCCAGGAGGAATATTCTCAATCGTCGCTGTGAGGTTACCAAAACCAATGCCGAGGTAGTGTAGCAGTATCGTCTTCTCTACTATACGCTCCCCTATCTTCTCAGCATCAGAATGAACCTGAAAGACAACGAGTATAATAATGAAATGAACTATTTTAGCAAATGATAGTTAATTCTGAGTCTTGTGTCTATTACTCCATTACGAGAACACATGTTTCTTGACAAACTCAGACTTGTTTTCTTATTAGTCTGGTATGAGGTTTCCCTTGTTGGATTTCAATGCAGTGGCAGAGCCACCTTATCCCAAGGTCCAAAAACTTACACTATGTATATATATATATATACTCCCCTTGACTTTTTCGTGTGTCTACTTCTTTTTATTTTGACACCCCTTAGTGAAAATTCTGACTCCG